GCCATCTACATCCCTGTCACACCCCTGGTGCCTCACCCCAAGGAGACCCTGGTCCCTGTGGGTGCCCTTTCTTACCCCAAGGTGTTGGCTGAGCAAAGCCAGGCAGATGGCTCAGCAGGTTGGCTCTGCTGTGACACCCTCTCCATCAGCCATTCTTGTGTGTGTAGGTGACATCCAGCTGGGCAGGAAGGCCAGGACACCTCGATTGTGCCTGGCCCTGGTGGCACAGAGGCACCAGGTGTCTGTGGGCTGGCATCAGGCTGGGAGGGCTGTGCCATGCCCAAGGACAACACTCTTGACACGTTCCCAGTGTGTCCCACTTGCCGAGCTGGTGAAATCCCAGCCTGGCCACTGGGCAAGGGTGACCAGATTGCTTCTGGAATTGCCAGTTCCCTGAGCTCTGCAGAATAGCAGCAGCCCCGGGGCTGTGCAGGACTCCACTGAGCTATTTCCAGCCCATGGGGACATTTCCCTTGTAAGTGACAGCTGGAGGGAGCCATGAGCTGCTGTCCCTGTGGGGGCTGCAGGAGGGGCAGGGGAGGCTCTGGACAGGCACCCCGAGCCAGGATGGGGTGTTGGCAGTGGCAGCATGGCCCTAGTGCCAGCTGGGCACGTGGCTCGACCCCTGGGGTCCCACAGCTCTGGGTACACTGTGGGAAAGGCTGTGGAGCTGTGTGGCCCTGTCCCTGTGCTGGTGTCCCCAGTGCTGCCAGGTCAGACCCCAGGGCTGGGCCCCCCTGCTCAGCATGGCCAGGCAGGGTCTGCCCGACATTCCCATGGATTTGAGGATCTTGTGGGACATCAGGCATTAGAATCCAGGCTGGCAAATCCAAGAGGTGACTGGGTGACCAGGAATGCTTGGGATGGCCCAAGAAGGACGGGGAGCCAGGCAGTCTTGCCCTGGATCAACAGAGGATGTCTCTCAGGAGACCTCCCTGGGGTGGGTTGGTGAAGTTCCCATGGCTGGAGGCCCGGGGACAGGAACAGTGGGACTTCTTGGACATCCTTGCTCTGGGAGAAGGGGCTCTTCCAGCCCCAGCCATACCACAGCATGTCCCTTGGGTCCCCCAGCATTCCCCCAAGCTGCAAGGGACACCGCAAGTGGATGTTCTTCAATGTACAGTGTGACATCTGCCTGTGCCAAAATACCTGACGTTTCCTGGCCATCTGCCCACCAATGGACCCACATCTCCTCAGCCAGGAAGAAGCAGGTGCTTCATCTCCCACCTTCCTCATCTTCATGTCTTCTACAAGTCAGGATTCAGGGTTCCTTACAGACCTTAAGGGTGGGGAGATAGTGGAAGAAAAACCTTGCAGCACTGATTCCCTATTTTCATCTCTATTTAGAAAGTTCCAAGCCTGGTTTTAATCCCTTTGGTAGATCTTGGTGAGGTTTCTTTACCATATTTTAATAAAAATATCATATGGTTCTATCAAGCCATTTATAGAAATCAAATCACTTCATAACTTTTTTTAATTAAACTTAAGATTTTCTGTACAAATGAGGTCAAGTGAGTTTGACAAAACTGTTTCCTAGACCTCTCTCTGCATTGAAAACCACGAATATACTTGCTTTATGCTGGAGTTTGGATCATTAAGCTTCTGGGACCTCTGGGCATCCTGGATTTTGGGGTGCACAGGGGTCTGGAGAGCCAACTCCATCCTCAGCACCATCCTTGTGCTTGTGTCCTCTAAGCTGCTTGAACCCTTGTGGGACACTTCCCTCTGAAGGTGTCGGCCCAGCTGACCCCACATTGGAGCTGGGCTCCCCCTTGCTCTGAGCCCTGGGCTGGCAGGGCCACGAGCACCATGGGGGTCCCACAGAGGCTGGAGGGAAGGGATATCACCATGAAAAGGGGTCTCACAGGAAAGGCGGGATCTGCAGCAAGTTCAGCTGGAAAATCTCCACAACTCCCTGACAGCTTCTTTGTGTCCAGGCAGTTTCCATGAGGTTTTAAAGGGCTTTGCCACAATAAAGGAAGGGTTGGATATTTGGGATAGAAGGTCCCGCCAACACCCCCCTGGGAGGACACGGAGAGCACAGGACTTGGAGGAGCCGCTGGATAATACCCCCAGGGAAACGGGGATTGGGATCTGGGCAGGGGAAGGGGGCGTGTGAAAAGCCATCCCCGCGGCCCTGCCATCGCCGGCCCCACGTTCAGAGCTCCGATTTCTGCTGGAGGGGGAGAGTGTCCCTCCAGGGCCACCTGTGCCCATCTGTCCCTTCTCACCATCCTCCTGGAGGACCCGCTTTGCCGTCAGGTCGTTGCTGTTCTGTTCGTCCCCGCGCAGGGATGGAGGGGACACCGGGATGTTCAGCCATGCCCCTCCTTCCCGCACAGGCTGCTCTGGGTGCAAACCAGCCACGGCATCCTGTGGCACCCAGAACCCCGCCGTGGGGTCTCCATCACCGCTGTCACCACCTGAAAAAGTGTCCCCTGGCAGCTCATAAAAGTCCCAGCATGAGAAAGGGGTGGCAAGGGCAATGCAAGCCAGGGACCCGCAGGGAGGTCAAGTCCCCGAGGGGAAAAGGGCGAGGTCTCCTCTCCGATGCCACCCATCTGCTTGGCACAATGCAAGGTGCGAACACGGGGAGCCCCGGTGTCACTTTACATCGTGGCTGTCCCTTCCCGGAGCCCACGGGGGCCCCCAGGTGGGGACGTCACCCTTGGCTGGCAGCGGGGCGAGGGGCCGGGGCCAGCGGGGGCTTCACCGGGGCTGCTCCTCCCGGTCCCCGTACAGTTGCCGTGCCGTATTTTTAGCCTCCGGAGGGTGTTAAGCCCGTAACCTTCGGCCCATTTTGCACTCATCGGTCGGCCATGTGCAGGTCAGCACAATTCACCATGGATCGGGAGACCATGTAGGGGAAACAGGGAGAAGGAGGTGGAGAGGGGACAGGGACTTTATGTCAGACCTTGAAGGTCACAGGAAATAAAGCCCGTGACCAGCACGCCGGCAGGGACATCCCCATCTGAATGCCTGGGGAATATTTCCTTTTTTCCTCGAGGGATGGCTTGTGGTGGGCACTGGCATTGCTGTTGTGCCTTGCCATGGTGGATGATGGCCCCTGTGGGTCACAGGGGGCACACAGACCCCAGACAAAGTCCTGAGGACTCTCAGGGTCTCCTCTGCCTGGTCTTGCCCTTCTTCTCTGCTTTGACCCTTCCTCCTCTACCAGCTCTCCACGTTACCAGCTGGTTTTGGGCCAAACTGAGAACATCCCTGTTCCCATCAGCTGAGGAGACCCTCTATTGACTCAGGCTGGGTCCCAGGCCACCAGGGCCAGTCAGGGCCATGCTGGCCCCAGCCACTCAGGGCTTTGCAGGTCAAAGATAGATATTCCCATTCAAGAGGCTCCTGCAGGGTCCCAGGGGTCTTGCAGGAAGGTGACCTGAATGGCCAGGGTGGAAGGGAGGGGGGTGGAAGCTGCCCACAACTATCTCCCTCCATCTGGGAGGTGAACTGGGTGCCTGGAGCTGCGTGCCAGCAGAGCACAGTGAGGGCAGAGCAAGGCTGGCCTGTGCATCCGGTTTGGGCAGGGTGAGGGGCTGTGGCAGAGGCTGCAGCTCTGCTGTGCCAGGGAACCAAGAGCCACTGGGAACGAGGGCAGGCTGGGGGGCAGCCTGTCCTTCCCAGTGCCCGCTGCTGGCATGGCACAAGCCTCCCAGTGTGACCTGGTCCTAGCTCACAGCCCCACCAGCACTATGGAGATAAAACCACCCCCTGGCATCCCCAGACACGGCAAACTGGGCTGAGGGGTCTGGGGCTGGCACCACGCTGACCCCAGCCCAGCTCCTCCTTGCTCTGTCACCACAGGCCCTGTGGCCAGGCCCACTGAGCTCCAGCTTTGCCAAGGTCCTGCTGGACACAGTCCTGTGGCTCCTGCACAGGAGCTAGAGCAGAGGACTGGCCATGCCCCCTCTCCTCCTGCAGCCTGGGTGGAGGTGGCCTTTTTTCCTGCTTGGCATCTGCTTGCCAGCTGGAGTACAAAGGAATTATTTTCCTCTGAAGCGCTCCCCTGGCATGAGACGTTTGGGGGGATTATTTAGACTAGCAGCAACTGTTTGTAACAGAGACAGTATAGCCGTGATCTTTTATTTTTGGCACCCGCTGACTGATGTTAAATTGCAGTTGGAGCCTATGGAAAATACGGTTGGATTCTCCTGGGCCACAGAACACACTCATTGTGTCCCCAGCAGCCGCACAGCATGGCACATGCTTTCCTAGTGAAGGGACATTCACAAAAAATAGCTCCTGAGCCCTGTGGCCAGGGTTAGGCCCTGCCTGTGGAAGGCAGGACTCCACGCTGGGCAGCTCCCCATGCCAGGAAGTCCCTTCCTCCTCCACCTCCTCACTTCACCACTCACCTTGGCTGGGGAAGGACCCTTTTAACCTGCCAAGTGCCCACAGCCCCTCAAAATTTGCCATTGTTATTCCTTTCCCTGTTTTTTAGGGCAGCTTTGCCGCCTTCCTGCAGTGCTTTAGGGTGGGCAGCAGCCCCAGTGCCCAGCAGCCAGGGGCTGGTGGAGCCATAGAGCCCCTGCCAGCTCTGCTTCAGCTCCCACAAACACATCTTTGCACCCAACTTCTTGCGACAGGTACAGAAAATTGAGCTGGAGAAGGCTTAGGGAAGAGTTTAAACCTCTTGGCACCAGCCACCCTGGTGGGTGCACGGTGGCCAGCAGGGGTGGGACTGACTGAGCTGTTCTCATCGTTTAGAGCCGAGCGCCCCCAGCACGGGCCATGGCGATGGTGCTGCCGAGAGCCCCCCACCAGCCACTGAGCCACGGCTGGAGGAGAAGACCGATGGCAGCCCTGCGGAGGAGCAAGACAGTGGCACTGCCAACACCTCCTTGCCCAGTGTCACCGAGGAGGGACATGGAGAGGGGGAGAAGGAGCCGGCGGGTGGCCCGAGCGGGGGCCTGGGGCGAGGGGATGGGCAGACACAGCAGAACAGCAAGGACCAGGGCCAGGAAGAACAGAGCTCAGGGGAGGATTTCATGGCAGTTCATCACGGAGGGAACCACGGGCCTGGCACACAAGATGCCCCGGAGGATGAAGAGCCCAGCACAGAGAAAGGAGGCTCTGAGGAGGAAGGGCAGCAAGGAGAAGAGCAAACAGAGGAGCCAGGAGCAGCGTCTGCTCCTGAGGGAGAGGAGGAAAGGGACGAGCAGGGCTCAGAGGAAGATGACGAGCAAGGAGAGTCTGAGGAAGATGAACACGGAGAGTCTGAGGAAGATGGAGGCAAGGAAGAGTCTGAAGAGTCTAAGGAGGAGAAAGAGTCTGACGAAGACGGTGACAGGCCAGAGAACGAAGCTGAAGAGAATGACAAAGAAGCACCTGGCACTTCCAACAAAAAGAGCCACAGCAAACCAGCAGCTGCTGGCACAGGAGAAGCCAGGGATGGCCCTGCCAGCTGCCATCACCCACCCTGTGGGGATGCAGCAGAAGACCCACCAGCAGCAGTGGAAAACCCACCAATGGTGAAAGATCCACCAGCAAAAGAAGACCCACCAGTAACGGAAGACCCACCAACAGCAGAGGAAGACCCTCCAGCAGCAGAAGATCCCCCTGCAGACAAGACCCCACAGGCAGGAACAGAGGTCCCCAGCACCCCCCCAGCTGAAGCCAAGCCCTGGCACAGCCAGATAGGTTGGAGTCTTTTCTTGTGGGTGTGCTGTAGCAGCGAGAGTGACCTCCCATCAACCCGGTGGAGCTGAGCTTGGCACATTAAACCTCGCCTAGTGCATGGCCCTCTCCTAACGCTTGTGCTTCCCTGCCCGCCCCTAACAGCGCTCAGCCGGGGCAGCAGGCAGCAGGATGCCTGTCACGGGCACTCATCGCAGTGGTGCCAAAACTGACTGATGTTCCCCTCTCTCCACTCCAAATCCATGATTTCTCCTCAGGGATGTGGACATGGATAAATTTTTTAACCTTCAGGCCCCTTTCAGCACTCGCAGATCTCCTAAAGACTCTTTATCCACCACTCACAGAGTCCCCCAGGCCCTTGGCTTGTGCAGGGGCAGGATGCTCCGAGGATGGTGGGGCTCCTGGGGTTGTGGGGCTCCTCTCCTCCACTTCTTGGCTTGTAGGGAAGGTGTGAAGAACTAATCCAGGCCAATGAGCTGCTGAGGCACCAGCCCTGCTCAGTCAGTGAAAGGCTAACTAGGGGAAAGGGACATTCCCCATCACGATTTCCTAGAAATATTTGTAGACTTTGGCCACAGGTTGGGCAGTGATCTTCGGACCCAGATTAGTATTTTTGTCGTTTTCATCTGTAACGTCCCAGCTCAAAAAGCCTCCCATTTTTCCCAGAAGGCAAACCCAGTTTGGTCTCTGTGTCTTCACTTGGCAAGTCAAAAGGTCTTCCTCAGCCCAACACTCAGTAGATGCTCAACACACTCTCAGGGCTTAGTGGTGCCTGCTTGATCCTGCTGTCCCCAGACCTGTCCCCAAATCCCTGCTAAAGTCCAACCCAGCTCCCTATATCCAAAAGCTCTCAGAAGCTCCCGGTGTGCCAGCACCTCCATGGCAAGGACACCTCTGTCTCCCAGTTTTGGGGACACTGGGGTGCCTTCCCCAGTGGAAGTGGCTGCCTCATGCTCCCCACGCCTGGTACGGAGCCATGAGGGATAGGGCACTGTGCAGAGGGCTCCAGGGGAATATGGAGACAGAGGTGGGAGAACTGGGAGGGAACGGCCCCACTGGCAAAGGCGGGGCAGCCACGATGGGCCAGGCTGGCCTGTCCCCTGAGAGCCAGAGGCAGCTCCAGCCTCGGCACCCACATCTCCAGCTGAGTGTGTAGTTTTTTTGGGGGCTGGGCAGACAGAGAGGCGGCAGCACAAAGGCTGCACCCGAGGCCGAGCCCCGCGGAGCCGCAGCTGCCAGGGGAAGCACCAGGACCCTGTTGGGCAGCAGCTGCCGTGTGTGCTCGTGCTACATCCCAACCCTGGGAGCCCCTTCCAGGCACATCCTTAGCATTCCCCACGAGCAGCCAGCCCCTCCTCGGAGCCAAGCAGTTGCCCATGACGCTTCCTCCGGCAGCCACAGCCCTGGCAGCCTCCAGGAGTCTGTGCTAAAGGGAAAGCTCATGGCATGCCAAGGGTGACAGCGGCTGCCGTGGGCATGGCGTGCCCGCAGGCTCGGGATGTGTGTGCTCCCCATGCCCTCTCCCTGGCAGTTGCTTGTGTGAGCTCCTGTCCACACAGTTCCCCCCTCCAGCAGTAACAGGTCTCCTTGTTTTCTCCTCTAGAAGAGGTTGAAGATGCCAGCGAGCCGACCAAGCGTGACCGGTCCCACTTGGAGAACACCCTGAAGCTGAATGAGGAAAAGCCTGCCGATGATGTCTCAGGTGAGGACGCCATGCATGCCCTGCACTAAGACCATGGACAGGATTTTCCTTCTCTTGTGTTTTGATTTTAACTTTGCTTCTTGCAGGTCTAGTAATGCCAGATCTTCAGTAACAGCCCTTTGGCTGCTCTTGGGTTAGCATATTTTAGGTATTTTAAGGACACCCCTGAGGGCATACAAGAATTAGGAGGGTATAGAGGTTGGAAGATGCAGATGGTGAATCAGGCACATCCCTGCTCAAAGAAACCTGGAGCAACTTGTAACAAATGGTTGGGATTTATACTCAAATTATATATTAGGTTTTGCTAGCCTAAGGTTTGCTTCTGCTGGCCCTGCTGGCAGTTTGGGCTGGAAAGGCAATGAGACGAGATACTGTGGAAAAAGCTCCTCCTTTTTTTATAGCAAGCAGCTCAGGGGCCATGCCAGGGGGCCCTGGCACCATGGTGGAGGGCTTTTTGGGATCATGGGTGTTGAGTGCTAAACAGCACTTAGGAAGCATGCTCCTCCCATAAACTGCTGGGAACAGATGAGGACAGTGCCCAGTGGGAAAGATTAGCAGGGGAGAAGTATCAAAATCCTAGAACAGCTTGAGTTGGGAGAGATAGTGAAAACCATCTCATCCCACCTCTCTGCCATGAACACGACACCTTCCATAGACCACGTTGCTCCAAGCCCTGTCCAACCTGACCTTGGACACTTCCAGGGATGGAGCAGCCACAGCTTCTCTGGGCAAAATGCGTGACTCGGATCAGTTTGGCCAAGATTTCAGCTATAAGCCAAGTCCTTTGATCCATGGCTGGGTCACCCTTGGGACCTGCAGGGAATGGCCCCAGGAGGGTCTCACCCAGCCTGGTGGGGTTTTGCTTCTCACCTGCCCACCTGCTTTGCCCCCCAGGAGTATTGCAGCGGCTGAGGAAGATCTACCACTCCTCCATCAAGCCCCTGGAACACTCCTACAGATACAACGAGCTGAGGCAGCATGAGATCACAGGTAATGCCACGGGCACTGGGGTCCCTGGCACCACCAGGTCCTTGGGATGCAGATAACAGCACAGAGAGCAGATCATGGACAGCCTTGGATAGTGTGTCTTCCTTTGCAGCTTCCCAGGGAGTCCATGAACACTCTGGGCTTAGAGGCCATGCCCTAGTGAACCCAGCAGCAGGAATTCCTGCCTCTGCCTCAGCCCATCTGCTGTCAGGGCCATCTGTGTGGGCTGAGCATTGAGCCCTGCCTGCCTCGGGTCTCCCACCTGCTCAACATCAATGCCCTGTACCCCTGCCAAGCAGAGATCACGACCCAATGAAACAGGCTTGGCAAGGAAACTCAGGACCTCTCAAGGCTGGGGATGAGCTTCCTGGGGGTGGCTGAAGCTGGCATCCTTCCTGCTGGGTACAGGACACAGCCATGTGGGCAGGGTATTCCTCAAGCTCCACAGCCTTCACTCATCCTGAGAGTCGGAGTTTCCAGCCCTTGGCAATCTCAGTCACATTGGATGGGGTGAGCAGGTCCCCATGGCCCCTGGCATGGTATGGGCTGAGCTAGGTCACACATGTGTCCCTCCAGAAGAGGAAAATGCAGCCGTGTCCCAAGATGCTCACAAGATACAGGAAGTTCTTGTAACCCAAGAAACACAAGCAGCTTCATTTTCCAGGCACAGATGGCTCAAGTTTGACTTCCTTGTTCACTGGAGTAATTCTCCTCTGAGTATCTATTCAAGCACAGGAGCTAGGGCCAGATGTCTCCTGAGCATCCAGGAGAGTCCCTGCTGCCAGTGTCCAGGACTTTGTGCCCATGTCAGCCTCCTGCCAAGGTTCTGAAGTTGTCCTCCTTGTCCTACAGCTCTGCCTGCCTCCCCAAGTGTCCAGGCCCACACTCCTGCAGCCATGCCCTCCCTCCTGGTGAGGCAGGACTGGGATACACCCTCCCCACACATCCTTCTTTTACAGCTGGCCTTGCTCCACCAGCTGGGCAACCTACTGGGGCACATCCCTGTAGAGCAGAACTCCTCCTTTCCAGGCACCCCCCCGCTGCAACTCCTAAGTCTAGGTCAGACATTCTATAAGCAGGCTTGGACAGCTCCCTACCCAGCCAGGCCATGTCCAGTGTAGAGCCAGTGGGGAGCACAGGGAAGTTACCCTGTGGGAGGGTAACTGAGGGTCACAACAGCATGTCCTGATTGTCACCTCATGACTGCTGGCCTGTCCCTGGCAACACCTTAACTTCCTTTCCAAGCTGCTCTGGTCCGTATTGGTGATGTTTGCTGTCAACTCAGCTTGGGACACAGTTTATGAGGAAGTTTGGTGTTACAGGGGCAGCTGGTGGGCTCTAACCTCCACTTGGCTGTTCACAGCCAGAGGATGCAGACCCCAACCTCAGTTTCCAGCCCTCAGGATGCCATGTCCTACCCTACCCTACCCTACCCTTAATCCATCCCATGCCCAAGCAGCCACCACCTTACTCTCTTTTTGGGAGGAAACAAGTGTTTAAGTGTTCCCCAGGCTCCTCTGGCTCCCTCCCTCTCAGCTCCTGAGGAAACAACCATTAACCCTGGTGTTTTCCCAGTTTCTCTCAAACTCAGCTCCTCAGCAGGACTCACCTCAGACAGCTGGTCCTGGTGTTCCTCCTGGCCTCAGCTCAACACTCCATGGTCTGTTCCACCTCACTGTGAGGAACAGCCACCCTCAGGCTGACAGTCCCCAGCATACCCCACTGTGTCCTACAGGGCACTCTCACGGTGCTGTGACCCTGGAATTGGTGACCCACAGTGCCCTCCTGGCCCCAAGGGAAGGGCACAAGGATGCTGCACTGCCTCCAATCCTTGTCCGTGAGACACCCTGATCATGCTCCCCTCCAAAAAATTTCTACGGGCACCAAACTTGTTGAATGATCTCTGACAACCCAGCTATACCCTGGGACACACAACCCTATCTGGAAACTTACAGCTCAGCAGTTTGCCTTTCATACCCACAGATTCAGCTTTTCCCTGTCCCTCATTAGCAATGTAATCAGAGAAACCTGCACATTAATTACAGGGTTGGCCCAGAGAACCCTCTTGACATTGGAGGGCAGGTGAGGACACAGTGGAGCTTGGGGAGCCTTCTCAACACTTGCCCTGTACAGTGCCCCGGTCCCAAGCAAGTTCATTCCATCCGTGGTGTCCCTGCAGGCTGGGAGGTGCTCCCAGCTCCCCCCTGTGCCCCCTCTCCGTGGTGGCTGGAGGGCACAGAGCTGCCAGCTCAGCTGGCTGGGAGGAGCGGGACAGCTGGGAGAGCTTTGGGGCAGGCCTGTCATGGAATATGTGTGACCTTTGGAGGTGTAAACCAATATAGAGGGGTGCCGTGGCAAGCACCCTGGCCCCTCCATTACGTGGCAGCCTTCCATTTTGTCTCCTTTCCCATCAGCTCCGTTCACTGCAGTGCAATCCAAAGAGTTCCTCTGCTCCCCACAACATGTGAAAACTTCTGTGAAGTCCTGTGGGAGCTGTGGCTGTCACCATCAATTCTCAGGGTGCATCTCATAAAGCTCCCACACACCCTCTGCTTAAGCCTGGCAGATGCCATTTCCTTCTCCCTGCCTGCCACCCTCCCGCCTCTCTGCTCTGCCATCCCACGTGGATGCAGACATGCTCTGGCTGGGTCCAACTCTGTGCTTGGAGGGACTATCCCTAGCTGAGGGTGAGGGATTCTCCCAGTCCAGCCACGGGAAGCTTGCTGTGAGGTCACACCACGTTGTGGTGCATGCTGGTGACCCTAATTACCGATATATGCTAATTAGCAAGTGTAGGGAATGACCTCCCAGATGCCATCACCAGCCACAGGGGCTGGGTCCAGGTGACCCTATCACCAGGGTTGTCAGGACATTTGCTGGGTTGGAGGCTGTCTAACCCTGGCTTGTTGGGCTCCCTGTGCTCGCTGGGTGATGCCAGGGAACGCAACAACCCCGCAGAGCAGGGGTTGGGATGCAGGGCACCCCGGGCCACATCCCCGCCCTGCAGGGCAGGCAGGGGTTCAATGCTTGTCCTGGGAGCTGCAGTTCGCTCCCAGGCTGTAACTCCTGGTCTCCCGCTGGGAATGTGGCCATCATTCCCACCCTGTCCTGGAGCACACCCGGGCTGTCGCATCCCTCCTTGGACTCACGGTTCCTTTTCTCTCTCCCCGTGTCCCTCGCTAACAGCTTACCCCGGACGCACCCTGGGCTCCTCGGCCACAGGTTGGTATCGCCGCCTGCTCCCTGCATGCTGCCGGCACTGCCTGAGCTCCGCACTGCCCTCCGGCTTCCCCGGGCTCCTGGCCCAACGCAGCTGCACTGCCCAGGCACCGAGCAGAGCCGGGACCCGCCATCCCCACGGGACAGTGTCCCCAGCCCTCCCAGAGCCCGCACTCTCCCAGTCTGATTCTGTGTCCGTCCTTCCCTCCAGTCCTCACCTCGCCCAGGCTCTGACACCTTTCCCTCTTGGTTTAAGACTGAGAGGCAGCATATTCCTCTGGCCAGGGTTCCAAGGCGTTTCTGGTAGGCGTTTCTGTGAGATCGGCTGAGCGAGATGGGGGGGCTCAGTCTGCAGAAAAGGGGGTTCAAGGGGGATCTTCTCATTCCCAACTCCCTGACGGGAGGGTGGAGCCAGGTAGGGGCCGGGCCTGCTCCCAGGGAACGAGGGACAGGACAAGAAGAAATGGCCGCAAGTTTCACTTTAGGATTGTATATTGGGAAAATTTCTTCAGGGAAAGGGCTGTCAGGCCCTGGCACAGCTGCCCAGGGCAGTGGTGGAGTCCCTAATCCCGGGGGATTTTAAAGCCTTGTGGGCGTGGCACATGGGGACGTGAGTTAGTGGTGGCCTTGGCAGAGCTGAGGGAGCATTTTGAACTGGTGATCTTACAAGGCTTTTCCAACCTAAACAATTCCATGATTGTATGTGTTGGACCTAATTTAGGTTGATCTCTCACCCACGGCAACTGGAGTAGCTCGTCCTATAGAGAGGATCTCTTCCCACCCTTCACTCTCCTATGTGCAGAAACTTTCCTGAATGTCCACCCTTGATCCCACAGCAGCTGTCCCAGTAACACGGGCTGGCCCCTGCCCAGCAGCCTCAGCCCCCTCAGAAGCCCGAGCTGGCTCCTCTCCCTGCCTATCCTGCTCAGGGTGTGCTGCCAGGTCCCCCCAGAGGATCAGGAGATGGGAGACAGTCCAAGAAATGCCAGCCAACACCCAGCCCTTCCCCTGGGCCTGGTGCTTAGCCACGGGAACAATGCTCCTGCAGGGAAATCCCATCTTCTGTCCCTCCTGTCCTGCCCCACAGCCACGCTGCCAGACCCTGCCAAACCAGGCTCCTTTGGACACGGCCACAGCAGAGCCCTGCCGGTGCCTGGAGAGCCCCTGGCTCCCTTCAGTGCCAGCGTGCCGGCAGTGGAGAGGGCTGTGGGTATTTATAGCGTATTCCGATAGCTGTCTTATCTCATCTCGGGTTCAGGCGCTCGCACACGTGCTGCCGGGTGGGTGCAGGCACAGGGGGGCACACGGGGGAGGCACAGGACATCTGCAGCCACGTGGGCTCTTCCCTCTGTCTGTAGACACACGTGTTTATGAGGATACTCGTGGATTTGGAACTTTGGGAGCAAGGGTTGCCCTGCAAGAATTGCTGGATCCGTGCCATGGGCACATAGCCGGAGGTGTTTGTGGCACAGGGGTGGGACAGAAGTCTGGGGGATGCTGGGAGTCTCCTCAGGTGTTCCAGCCTTCCTGGATGGCTTGAGGACAAAGAAGACCTTGGTGCCCGTGGCTCAGTTGGAACCAGGAGAGGAAGCAGGTCCTCTGCTTTGCTCAGCATCCTCAGGACAGACTTGCACTTGGGGGAGAGGCCACACCAGGCACGTCTGCTGGGCTTGAGGACAAGGGGGGAACAAGGTCCTGCCCAGGATTAATCACAGAATCATGGAATGATTTGGGTTGGAAAGGACCTTAAAGCCTACCCAGTTCCACTCCCTGCCATGGGCAGGGACACCTTCCACTGTCCCAGGTTGCTCCAAGCCCTGTCCAACCTGACCTTGGACACTGCCAGGGATCCAGGGCCAGCCACAGCTTCTCTGGGCACCCTGTGCCAGGGCCTTCCCACCCTCACAGGAATGAATTTCTCCCTAAATCTCATCTAACCCTGCCCTCTCTTAGTGTGAGACCATTCCCCTGTGCCTTGTCACTCCAGACCCTCATCCAAAGTCCCTCTCCAGCTCTCTTGGATCTGCTTTAGTCACTGGGAGGAGTTCTACCTTCTTCCCAGAGCTGTCTCTTCTCCACCCCAGAGCAGCAGTGCTTCCAACCAAGGGCAGTCTGGCACTGCCACATGGAAAAGCCTCACAGAAAGCCACTGCTCTAGGAAAGAAAACTATGTGGACATCCAAATTGCTCCTATGCCCAGAGCTGTGCAGCCCAAGCAGACCCAGGCTCTGCGGAGGGATAAACTTGAGGCTCGTCTGAGTTTGAGGCTTGTCTGAGCTTGAGCTGAGAGCGAGCAGCCACAGGGTGGCTGGAGAGAGCCACTGTGATGGAGCTGCCGCCATCCCCGCCCGGCCGCCGGCAAGCTCCGGCTCTTTTCCGCTGTCCGGACCATCAAGCTGCCCCGAATTGCTGCTGACAGACATGGCACGGGGACATAGCAGGGACAGATGCCAGGGCCAGCACCCTCCCGGGTGGGAGATGTTCCCTCTCTCCCAGCCTCTGGGCAAGCAGCAGAGAATCCATACCCAGCCTGCCATCCTTTCAGCTGCTGCACTTCCTGCAGAATTGCAAGTGCCTGGCACTGCCCACACAGCCCATGGGGGGTAGAGAGGTGCTCGAGGGCCTGTGGGTGACCAGGCAGGGGGGCTGCCCACGTCACTGCCCACCTTGGCTCCGTGGAGCAGAGAGGGGGATGTGCAGCAGAGCCGGAGCTCACAGGTGCCCACATTCACACAGTCGCACCTGGCCATGGATGTGTTATGAAAGAGCACTCAGGGACCCACCCCAAACCTCTGGCACAACATCACAGGAATAATGGTAATAATAACAACCATCCGTAACCTAATTAAAGCTGGCAAGAGAGCAGAGCAGCGGCGACAGAGCGGCAGAGGAATGATTAATAATGAGAGTCCAAGGTTTCAACACTTGTTTTGGTCCCATGTGAGAAGACAAGGCTGGATTCCGGCAGCTGCCAGGCAGAGAGTGGGGTACAGAACGAACCATGCATCCCCTGCTTCAGAGATGCTGCCCTGCTTTGTGAAGGAGGGCTGAGCTGTATGGATGCAGCAGTGCCTCATGGAGAGATGGCCCCAGCCCATTCCCTTCCCCAGAGGTGACACGGTGAGCCTGTGATGGGCAGATACAGCAGGAGGAGGCCGGAATGTTCTCCCCAGTGCCTGCCGCCATGGCCAGATGGGTTCAGTGTGAAGCTGCCATGCAGTGCCCTCCAGCACGCTCGGGGCAGGAGATCAGCACCATGGGGGCTTTGTGGCTTCCCCTACCTTGGAGATGGATCCCTGGTCTGCTGGATAGCTGCTAGCTCCTGCATGGCTGGTAGCCATGGAGCATCAGGGCCTCTCAGCTACCTCATGGAAAATAGTTCTGCCTTAGGCTTGGGGATGAAGAGAAGGTGCTGAGGACAGCACAACTTGCCCAGGGCATCTCCTTGCCTTGGGCCATAGGGGAAGGCTCTGCTGAGATAGCAGCTCCCAGCTCCTCTGGTGTCATCCATCCCCTGGCTGAACTCCTGCTAGCAACAATGGGATGGACCCTCTCCCACCCTGAGCATAGGCTGGGGTTGGTTTTCACCAACAGGAACTTACCCAGTTTTACTTCCATTCTTGTCCTGTTTATTCTTGTCCTGTTTTGGAGTCCTGTGTGTCCTGGGCACAGCTTGAGGGCTGTGGGCTCCTCCAGAGAGCCCTGGGCTCCTCTGGCTCCAGCAGCTGCCTACCTGGGGGGTCCAGCAGTGTGGATACAAGCTGATTGCATGAGTCCTGTTTGAGCAGGGATTGCTCCTAGGGGCGCTGGCTGCGTGTGTCCAGAGACGTCTGTGCTCCTGGACTGATGGCATGGCATGGGGACAGGTCACCATCCTCATGGAAAAAACTGTGTGACTTGAAGAATGCAGGATGGGGGCTATAGTTCACTGTCCTCTTGCCTTTCCCCAAGCTCAAAGCGGGGCTGTTAGCCCTCCCCACATCCAGCTGGAGCCTCACACCCAGCTCACACCCAGGCAGTGACCTCCTGCTCGGCTGGAGGGTCGGGAGGCCCGGCCCGCGGGTAGGTCCCTGCGAGGGCATGGTTGAAAGGCTAGCAGGCTGCTGGCTCGAGGCTCGCACCGCGCTTACCAAACCCTGCGCCGCAGCTCCCGAACCCACGGCAGCTCCTCTGCACGGGGCACCGGCCTGGCTGCGGCATGGCCTCTTTCTTGGCACGTCCCGTGCTTTGCGGCGGCGGCTGCCTTCAAACAATACCCCCACCCCGCAGCCAGCCCCAGACTCACCCGGCTAAACCAGAAACAAACCGAGACAAGGCTCGATAGACCTTCCAGTCCTCCGTAGTCTAAGAAGGGCTGAACTTCGGAGGAGGTCAGGCAGCGAGGTGGGCTCTGCCGCAGAGCACGGGGCCGTCCCTCTCCCGCAGCCGGCGGGGCGCTGCCTTGGCTGGCGAATGGCTGCTGGCCCCCGAAGGGCGGCTGTTTGCCCGGCAGCATCACCGCACCGCTCACATGGGATGCTCGTTACAGCCGGGAGTTAATCGCACGGCGGCGACGGCTATTGTTCCTTCATTTCCTCTTGTTATTTCCCCTCTCCGCAGATGGGGAGATCACTTCCAAGCCTATGGTGCTATTCCTGGGACCGTGGAGCGTCGGCAAATCTTCCATGATAAACTACCTCCTGGGGCTGGACAACACTCCCTACCAGCTCTACACAGGTACCACACTCACTCCTTTACCAAGGGGGTGCTGGCACCTGCATTTCCACATCCGTGCAGTCAGCAATTCCCGGCCTTGTGTCTTCCATCCCTCCTTACAGCAGGGAGGTTGGGACCTGCTCCGTGCCACCTGGCTGCGGTGCTATGTGGAGGAAGAGGTTCCCCATCCCAGGCTGTCCACCTTTCCAAAGGTGGAGGAGAGCATCTCTCCCACAACATCCTCATCCTGCAGCACAGGGCTCACAGCTCCCAACCCCGTGAGCAGCAGTCACGTCAAAAGGACAGCTCACCTTTCTCTTCTCCCCACCCTTCTACACATGCAGCCAGATAATTCACCCTCCCAAGAGAAAGGCCATTCCCCTTCCTCCCTGCTCCCATGGATGTCATCTCACAGCTAAGGGCAGATGTCCATGGCCAGATCAGTGCTGTGGTAATGAGGGCTCCCAGGAGATGGTTCTCCATAACACCTTGTGCAGTCAGGCCACTTCCAGAGAAACCAGTTCCCACAGAAAACAACCCTACTGACATCTTCCCAAGAAGTCTGGGAAGGAATTTCATGCTGGTTGCCTTGTCCCTGCATCTCTTGAGAAGCACACAATGCTCCCAATGCTCCCAGTCTCAGGCCAGCCCTGTTGTGTCCATAGCCTGGCGTGGATTTCATGCCTCTGCTGCTTCTCTCATTGCTGCGCAGGGGCAGAACCCACCACCTCAGAGTTCACTGTCATCATGCACGGCCCCAAGCTGAAGACCATCGAGGGCATCGTGATGGCTGCTGACAGCGCCCGCTCCTTCTCACCCCTGGAGAAGTTTGGGCAGAACTTCTTGGAGAAGCTGATAGGCATCGAGGTGCCCCACAAACTGCTGGAGAGAGTCACCTTCGTAGACACGCCAGGCATCATTGAAAACCGCAAGCAGCAAGAAAGAGGTAGGGGTTCAGTGGGTTCATCTAAGGGACCCCAGAAAAGATGCCATGATGATCTGAGGTGAAAGAGGTGGCTGGATCACAATGGAGAAGAGTCCTGACACAACACAGGCTGCCCAGGACAGTGGTGGAGTCACCATCCCCCGATTTAAAAGATGTGTGGATGTGGCATTTGGGGACATGGGTTTATTGATGGCCATGGCAGTGCTGGGGAAATGGTTGGACTCAATGATCTTAGAGGACTTTCCCAACCATAATGATTCTCTGATCCTGTGATTTGTTATCTGCTCACAGGAACAGCAGGAACCTTTGGTCAGCATCAGGGAGGAGGAATGTCTGGAGATGAGAGAGACAGGCAGTCACAGGCCCAGACACCCAGGGATGGCTTTTCGTGCCAAGAAGCTCCAAAGTGTTTTTAGCATGTGAGAAAGAGGTTCTAGGCTACAGGGAAAGTCCGCTGTGCCTCACAACCCATGCAACTCAAGCAGGGATTGAGGCACAGCAGGCTCATGGTTTATCAATCCCTTGATGAAGGGACTCATCCTGCATTGGATTTCCCTCTCTCCTCTCCTCAAGGTTACCCATTCAATGACGTGTGCCAGTGGTTCATTGACAGAGCTGATCTCATCTTTGTTGTCTTTGACCCCACGAAGCTGGATGTGGGCTTGGAGCTGGAGATGCTGTTTCGTCAGCTGAAGGGCCGTGAGTCTCAGATCCGAATCATCCTGAACAAAGCCGACAGCTTGGCTACCCAGGAGCTGATGAGAGTCTACGGTGCCTTGTTCTGGAGCCTGGCTCCTCTCATCAACGTCACAGAGCCACCCAGGGTGTACGTTAGCTCCTTCTGGCCTCATGACTACCACCCAGATACCCACAGAGACCTGTTCCTCAAAGAAGAGATATCGCTTCTGGAAGATCTCAACCAGGTGATTGAGAACAGGATGGAAAACAAGATTGCCTTCATCCGCCAGCACGCCATCCGGGTGCGCATCCACGCCCTGCTGGTCGATCGCTATCTACAGACCTACAAGGACAAAATGACCTTCTTTAGCGATGGAGAACTGGTGTTCAGGGACATTGTGGAAGATCCTGACAGGTTCTTTATCTTTAAGTCCATTCTGGCAAAGACCAATGTCAGCAAATTTGACCTCCCTAACCGCGAGGCTTACAAGGACTTCTTTGGCATCAACCCCATCACCAGTTTTAAGCTGCTGTCTCAGCAGTGTTCCTACATGGGAGGGTGTTTCCTAGAGAAGATCGAGAAGGCCATCACCCGTGAGCTTCCCGATCTCTTGGGAAGCATTGGCTTGGGCAAGAAGCCCAACGTGCTCTCCTGCGACGTCACTGGCTGTGGCGAAACCCCAAAGAATCGCTACAGGAAACCCTAAGGTGATCCACAACCCAACTGTCCACGTGTTCCTACTGGTGAATGAGCTTATGTCTTATCTGTCCAAGAAGCCATGGTTTGTTAACCCTTTGAGTGCCGCGCTGGCAAAGGCTACCATACGATGAGGACTTTGAGTCACTGACATCGATGGCAGGGGAAGATGGGTGGGCATAAGGAAGAGAATAAAAACTGTGAATTCCTGACATTTTATCTTTGTTCTTTCAAGTAGAAGGCAATGTTTAAGCTGTAAGTATGAGCAATGCATGGGCAGGACTGCAGCTGCTTTTCCACTGGTGCCAAGACTGCACGAAGAGGAATTTCAACCTCTGCATCCCCAAAGCCATGAGGGACTGAGAACAAGGGCACGGCGTGAGAGCACAGGGGAGAGCAGTGACACACTAACCCACGCATCACCAGGAGCATTGGTCAAGGAAAGAGAGGCCATGTCCCAGCTGTTGTTTTCAGGCACAAACCTGCTACAAATCTCAGCAAATATTGGTCTTGTTTTTATTTCCAAGACCTCTAGGTCACCTGGTGAGTTATTTTTTTCACTTGACAGCTCAGTTGATATTCTGCAGCCTTCATGTGGGTGTTTGACTTAAGAAGGAGCATTTGCAGGGGTGTTTGTAGTTCCAGACTGGCAGCTGTGATGGGATTTGCAAGTCCATGGCAGAGGAAGAAATGGGGTGGAAAGGAGAAGCCAGAACTGGCTGAGCTGTGCTGGAGGAGGAGGGCCAGCACCCCAAATCAGATGGTCCCACAAGGAGATATGAGCAGGGTTTCCTTTCCCGGACCAGCACAGAAGAAGGCACCTGATGCCTACGTGTGTCATTAACCTCAAAACCCACGTTAGCAAGTGTTGTCTGTGGACCAGCAGGGCTCCAAGGGTGAGGGTGTGGCAGTTTGCCTTTGCTCAAGTCCATGTTGCTCTTTTCTTAGTCAGCCCTCTGTGTTTTTGTGCTCTGTGGAGGGAGGCAGGAAGGGGGTCCATTAGCTGTGAAGTTTAAAAGGTCACATCCCTTTTGCCCACCTGCTGATCTGTCCTCCCCAGGACAGTCCAGGCAGGTTTCTGGGGCATGCTTTCCAAACTCCTCCCTTTTTAGCCATTTGTTGGCTTATCTCTGAGCATCGGTGCTCAGTCCTGAAGGAGTATTGCTTTGGAAGCACCCGAGCAGGGTGAGGTTCCCCATGGACAGCTGACCTTGAAACTTGGCCCTCATGGACAGCATCGCTGTCTGCCAAGCTGAGCCCAAACCAAACAGGAGATAGATGTTGTCCTGGATGGAAAACTGGACCTGTTGAAAGTTCTTCTTCCTGCCAAACACCCACAGCAAGTGCTGCTCTCCAGGAAACCTCTGGAGAAAAGGGACTTATCTTTAACAGAAGCAAGAGGACATGGAGATGCTGGCTAAAGCAAGAAAAAGGCAAAATGAATGAAAGAGGGAAAGAGAAAGCTGGAAACAGAACGCTGTGTTGTGATGGGGAGGGTGTGAAGGGCATCTCTACATGTGCAACAGGATGTGAGCTATGGCAGGAGGCCTGGGAGAGCTCCATGTCCCCCAGACACTGCAGTGAAGAGGTCCCCTTGAGTCCAGGTGAGTTTGAGGGGATGCTACTGCAGGGACTTGAATATTCCTGGCCTCTGCTTCAAGGTAGGACTTGACATTTGAACTAATGAAGCTGAGACCAAAATCTACGTCCAAGCACAGGGCAGGGCGTAGCTCAGGAAGAGGGATTTTGCCTGCAGTGCAAAGGGAGCAGTGGTGCAAGGGAAGGCAAGCAGTGTCAGAGAGACCAGCAGCTAGAGCAGTCTGGAGAGAAGGGATGTGCTTGTGAGTACTGTGAGGTCTCAAACCTGCCCCAGTGCTGCTGCCCCTCCCTTGCCGTTCCTTCTTTCTTGTCCACGATCCTGTTGCTCATCAGTTTTCCTCTCCATCTGTTGTTCACTCTCCTCTGTTGGACTGGTCTGCATGTTTTTTTAAGAGCTAATGGAATAGAATCACCAACAGAAACTGGCTGATGCTGTCACTGTTCTTGCTGTCACATTGTGTGTCACTGTCACGGAAAGCAAAGGCCTTTAAACATTTCTGTTTGCAAGCACTGTATTGCACCATCTCTTTCCTTGTTCCTCTGTACCCCTAAAGCCCATGGGGTTTTTACCCCATTATGCCCCTTTACCCAGGGAAAGGCCCTCTGTTCCACAAGGAATATTGACCTTGAAGGTACTGTTACTCTGCTCTCAGGCCACTCCCATCGTTCTCCCCAGCCTTTCTCTCTTTCCTTTTACCTTGCTTTATTTTCCAGCCTTCATCACCTCCTCTCCTCCCTTCCTCTGCCCTGCAGCACCTGCACGCCCTGTGCAAAGCCTTGGTTGGTGCCTGTGTGCTGAAGGGGCTCCCCCATGACAGCCAAAATCCTTTTCCCCTAATATGGTTTGTTTGGGTTGTCCTTCCAAAGTCACGGCATTGGTGGTCTGTTCCCTGCTCCCTGTGACACACACTGACCCAGCTCCGTGCTGCCTCAGGGAGATGCTGCCACTGAGATGCCTCCTCTCCCACGGATCCAAGTGGCTGTCAGTCCCAAGAGGATTACAGTTCCCAGCCCAGTTCTCACTGAGTTTTCTTAGGAGACCTCTGGGAATCTGAGAGTGGAAAAATGGGGAGCAGGGAGACATTTTCATTCTGCTGAGAAACCCCAACCCCCCCCCAGCATTTGTGGGGTGAACATCTTGCCCAAGAGCTTCGTGGGAGGAAGGGAGCTGGGACACAGGCCCTGTAGATGCCCGTGATCATGTGCATTGGGATAAAACTGTCAGCTTGAACATCAGCCTGTCTAATAAAACCTGATACTTTCCAAACACACTCCCTGGAGATGTTTGTTTTGTTTCTCCTCCTCATGTGGGAGAGAGCACCGACACTGGGGTGGCTGAGGGGGTGCAGCTGCAGGGAGCAAGGCAGGAACTTCCCATCTTCTTCCCTGTACTCCAGCTTTGGCCTCTGTCCCTTGCACAGGACCTGCCAGCCATGCCTGAGTCATTTGGCTGCTTTTCCAACCTGTTTCCTTGTGCCATAGGCCTAAGAGGCAAAGCAAACCCCAACTCCTTTGCTTTGTGCCTCCAGAGCAGTGTGATCCTCCCACTGAGACAGATCCCACCTGCCTCAGGAGATGCTGTCTGGGCACCATGACAGAGGGCAGGGGTCAGGAACCACGGAGGAGAACCCAGTATTGGCTATCACAGCAGAAGGCAGGGGCTTGGGGATCATGGAGGAAGGCAGGCATTTGAAGAGCATGGAGAAGCATGGAGGAGGACAAAGGGGTGGGGGGCCATGGAGGAGGGCAGGGATTTGGGGACCATGGAGGAGGACAGGAATGGAGCACCATAAAGGAGGGCAGGGGCTGGGGACCATGGAGAAGGACAAAGGGGTGGGGGACCACAACATAGAGCAGGGGCTCTCAGCAGCCACCCAGCAAGGGGCAGATGGAGGTACCCTCCCACCGGCGACTGGGGCTCACTCAAACTGCTCATTATAACCCTATTCCCGGCCTGTCTGTCTGTCTTTCTTTCCAACTATCTGTCTCACTCACTAATCAAAGAAGATTGTTCCAAGAAAGCTGGAAGAAGAGGAGGAATGTCTCATTTGGCTGCGGCTTCCTTTGGAAAGTCTGGAAAAACTGTGGCATCTCGACGTGCATGAAGGTCTGCCTGGCGAGAAGCACATTTTCCTTCCAAAGCTGCTCTAAAGATGTGAATCATGAGCCGGTAACGCTCCTGGCAGTGCAAACCCCAATTCCACTGAGACACGGTGCTGGCAGCGGCTCTGCTGTATCTCTTGGAAGGAAAAGACAAACATTTATCATAGTGACATTGCTGGGGAAGAGCTGCTGGTGCTGCCGAGAGCTTGGCGGCAGCCGGATCCTGCCAGCGCCCAGGGTGCTCCCACCAAGTTTTCTGAAGGTCTCCTGAAGTTCCTCAAACACCAGCCAAGGGGTTTACAGTCCTTTTTGGTTGTCCTCCACCACCTCAGCCCCTCCGTGGCATCTCTTGCGGGCATGAAAATATCCTGCATCCCCCATCCCACAGAAAAAGAATAAAAGTTTTGGAAAGGTCTGCTGGGAGCCGGGGGAGCTCTGGTGCTCTGCCTGCTGCATGGTGGAGGTCCCCACCCAGTCTGTTTTCTGCTGTTCCCATGCATCCAATGCTGGGGCCAAACTCCTTCCAAACCTTGTCCCCCAAAAGTCCCTGTGCTGCAATTGCAAGACCTCAGTGGCTGTGACATGTTTATGAAACCACTCACTCCGTACCCAGGTGGTCCCAAAAATGCTCACCTCATTGTCCACCACAGAGCTGGGGCTGTCGCTCTCCCTGCTGGCAGCAGATGCCTGACTGGTTCAAGCTTCCATTAACAGCTCCTGGAGCAAACAAAACACCCCTTCCATGTAAGTCCCTCCTTTGTGGGTCTGTGGAACTTCAGGCAGCCCCAAGAGCACCCTGGCTTGCACAGACCCCAGCCCTCTGGCATCCCTCCCAGGACAGGGTCTAGGATCAGGTTTGGAGTTGGAAGAGTTTCAACATTAAGTGTGGATGTGCAGTGTGTGGACTCAGGACATGTGGGACAGACACCTTCCACCTCAAACCAGAGCACTGTGGTCAGTTTATGTCTGTGGAGAACCCCAAAATCAACACATTTTGCCCAAGATGTGCAGGATACTGAACCAGGAAGGCAAGTAAAGCTGTGGCCTGAAGAGGGGGCTTTGGGAGCATTTCCCTCAGCTGACACCAACAGAATCACAGGTTGGAGAAGCCATCTAAAATCATCAAATCCAGCTGTTAATCCCGAGCTGCCAAGGCCACCACCTAACCATGTCCCCCAAGTGCCACATCCACACATCTCCATGGGAGGAGGATTTGCAGGCTGCAAAGGGCTTCAGACCCAGAACTGGGGTTTGCCTATGATATTGGTGTTTCCTGGAGGAGACAGGGTGAAGGAAGGGGAGCAAGTCTGCTTCTGGAGCTGTCTGCCTTGGGAAAAGGAATGTCCAAAACGACTGTCTGCTTGAGGGAGATGGGAAAAGCCTGGATATTGGCCCCAAGGGATCACCACTTGCTTTAGTATACCAACATCCTATTCAGGACAAGAATCAGAGAAGCCAGGGCAGTCTGGAGCCCTGGGAAGGGGATTTTCACTCCATGAGGTGTCCAGCAAATATTACCCCTGAGAAACAGGGGGGTGGTGGGTGGTGGGCCTGGGGGTACCTCTAAGCAGAGCAGAGGCTGGAGGGGATGACGGGGTGCTCCCATGCTGCTGTCCCTGGCCAGGAGCTGCTGCAGCCCAGACAGAAAATTGGTGCCACATCACTGTGAATTCCCAGCAGTTATTCTATGGATGCCCAGCATGGACTGGAGCATTCGGCTGCTCCTTCTCTAACATGTTCATTAGTGGTCATTTAATTACAGGATGCAAAGACGAGCTGTTCCAAAATACTCATGTACCTGGGCAAAAAATGCAATGAGCAATTAGTGCTGCTAATGAGAGAGGGAGTCACAGTATCAACAACAGAAGAAATCCATCAGCATCCTGGCAAACCTGCAATCCACCCTAAATCACATGGACTGCTCTGATCTGGAATTATCCCAGTAGTCTTTTGGGGCAGAGGTTGGGAAAATGGAATGTGGGTGAGATAGTGACAAATGGCCAACTCCTACCCACGGGAGAGACAAGGTGTCCAAAATCACCTTTATTCCCATCCAAGGCTGCTGGAAGGAATGGGAAGGGAGTGCTGGTGCCACCACCACTTCAACTCTAGATCAAAATTCAGCAGCACAGGGAAGGCCTTTGCTTCCTTGTGACTTTCCAGTGCCATTGGCTTGGGGATGGGAGTTGGTGGGGCTGAGCATGCAAAGCGAGCACTCCCAGGGCAGGGAATGTTGCCGGCTGCTTCCCGGTAGCTGTGATTAATTGTTGTTAATATTAAATTCAGCACTTTTATGCAGGACACAGAAGTGCTTAGGCAGGAGCCCAACTCCCATCCTACCTGTCATTAAAAAACATAGCAATTAAGCTCTGCTGGAAGGAAATACAAGTAAATGCATCCTCTGTAAGTGGCTTCAGCTTTCCACACACATCTGTGTCCACTGTTTCCTCTTGGGCTGGCTGAGCTGCTTCTATTTTCCCTCTTCCCATGACCCATACATTGCTTTTTCTCCTTAATCGTGCCCACAGCTCCCAAAGGCGAGGGCTGGAGAGGGGAGGAAAGGAGCCCCAGCTGCCTCTGACCCATTGACACCGGTGGAAAGTTCATGTCAGCTGCAGCTGCCACCCCAGCCCTGGCCAAAATGAAGGCTGTGCTCCGGGTATCTGCTCACCTAGTTGGATCCTGATGCTCTCTTTGATCCTCTCCATGGGCAGAAATCCAAATGCTTCTGCAAGAGGAAGGGGTGCTACTGCCCCAATACAAAGCATTTAACAAATTATTTCCACTTTGCAGCAGATCTGGATGGGATTTTCAGCAGCTGAGACCTGCTCCTGCTTAGGTCAATGGTGACAGACTCAGCCAAATGCCCCAGCAGTGCCAGCCTGGCCTCCAACCCTGCAGGGTCTGGCACAGCTCGAGCTCTGTGGCAGAGCTGTGCTGACAAGCACGGTCATGTGGCAAAGCTGAACAGGCTGGGGGGTTATTGCATCCCAGGACAGGGTTTTTCCATGGCATTGTCCCCCTGTTTTACTCCAGCTGTGGTTCTTCACCTGGAAAAGGATGAGGCAGGATGTCAGAGTGGGATGTGGGGCAGGTGGTGATGGGTCAGCCTGAGCCAGAGGATACCGAGAGGAACCATGGTGGCAGGGCCTGAAGGGACAACCTCTTCTGCCTGTCCCCAGTGACCAACAGGACTGTGATGAAGCCAGAAGCTGTGGTTAAAGTTTAGGGAATGCCAGGAGAGGCAGGTGGGAGTGACAGCCACATACAGCCAGGTCATTGTGTGGCCAGAGTCCCCATCAGGTCCTTAAAGCCTGGGAAAAGGCAGAAAAACAAGATAAGACATAGGGCAAGGGAGTTGGAGATAAAAAGGGGCAGCAAGACAAAAACATACCTGGTGTCAAGGACAATACCAGTGCCAGGAATACTACACTGAAAATTTTGGAGCTGGGGGGACAAAGATCATGTGAAAGGTGTCCTGAGTGCCAAAACTGGCTTTCCAGAGGCACGAAGGATGCTGGCA